TTTATCTTAGTTTGTGTATTTGCTATCGTTTGTGTATTTGCTATCGTTTGTGTATTTGCTGTCATGCCAACCAATGTAGAATTGGCCAAAAAAATTGAAGCACTTGAGTCTTTGGTTCGCTCTAGTCTTGATACCCTTGCAAATGAACTAACAGCTAAAATTAAAGAAAAGCTAGCACAGGATGGACTCGGGGAACATGCGTCCCTCGGTGATAGTGTTCAATTTCTGTGTGACAGTTTCGACTCTATCAAAACAAAGCAGGATGAATTGAAACTAGCTAACAAGGAACTAGTTGCGCAAAATGAGGCACTGACTAGAAGGGTTGCGGAGTCGGAGCAATACTCGAGGCTCAATAATGTTGAAATCAAGGGCGTTCCGGTCACTTAGGGTGAGGACTATGCGGCCATTGTGATGCAGATTGGCGAAGCTATTCAGTGTCCTGTCACGCCCAGCAACTTTGACACAATTCATCGCATTTCAACGAAATCAGATGAAAAGAACATTGTTGCACGGTTCTGCTGTGAAAAGAAAAACGACTTTGTTCGCAAAGCGCGTAAGACCCGTCCGAACACTTATGATGTTGACTTCTCCGGTAGCTCAAGTAAGGCAATCTATGCCAATGATCACCTGTCTCCAGAGAACGAAAGATTGTTTGCTAAGGCTCTAACTCTGAAAAAAGCGCACAAATGGCAATTTCTGTGGACAGACAATTGCCAGATCAACGCGCGGAAGTCTGGTGATGGCAGAGTATATCGCATTATCAAAGACAGTGATCTTAGCATCTTTTCATAGCCACTGAGTCCTACGCCCATTTTTGTGCTGAACACTCGTTCACTTTCATCTTATCATCATGGCTTTGCTATCCCCTGACGAGGCTAAACATATGCTAGATGATAACAATCGCTCCTTGGTTCATTTCAACGCGCGTAGCCTCCGCGAAAATTCGGATAATATTTATAACTTTATAGATTCACTCGCACATTCTTTCTCCATCATTTGCACCTCTTAAACATGGCTCTGCACTTATGACGTCAATCTGTTCGGCCCGCCATCGTACGAAGCTGAGTACTGTCACCGTTGTTCAGGCAGCTATGGTGGCTCAGCAATATTTATCGCCCCAGATCTGTCCTACACCCGCCGACAAGATCTTTCCTTAGGCATCTCGCATAGCGAATCCGTGTAGATTGAATTAGATAATTCTTTTTAAAACGATAATAACAACGTTATTCTGGGGTGTATTTACCGTTCGCCTTCTTCGAATATGAGGAATTTCATTTCTCGCCTAGATACCATTCTGCATCAGTTATCATCTGAAGGCAAGCGCGTTGTCTTAGTTGGAGACATCAACATCAACTTGCTAACACAGACAATTGTGCATGCACAGAATATAATGACTGCTTCAGTGGATACGGTTTTGAGTCTCTCATTTCATCTCCTACTAGATGTCCTATGTCTGGTGCTGCTTCATTGCTTGATCATGCCATCTGTAATTTCTCGCCCTCTCCCTCTGCAGGAGTAATTGATGTGAACATCACTGATCATTATCCCATATTTCTTGCTTTCAATGTCGTGAAGCAATTTGATCCACCTATGCGTGTTACTTCTGTACTTGACCAGGAATTGTTTTTCAATGCCATTATTAAAACTGATTGGTCCAGTGTTACGTTCTTATGCAATGTAGATCAGGCATTCAACAAGTTTTCTTCCCTTTTCCTTAAAGCCGTAGAAGAATGTACTAAAACAGTCAAATGTAAAAAGAGCTAAAAATATCCTAAGAACCCATGGTTATCTGAGCGACTGCTAAAAAGTATGCGTAAAAAAGATAACCTGTACAGAAAAGTCAAAAGACAACCATTTAACACTGCTTTAGCTTCACGCTATGAAAAATATTCTAATGTTCTTTCGTGTCTCTTGAAAAATGCCAAGAAAAAATATTATGATGACCAAATATCTTGTGAAAAAAAAACAACTCTAAAAGACAATGGCAACTCTTAAATGATTTTTTAAATCAATCAATACATAGTTCACCTTTGCAGAAAGTCACATATAAAGGCATTACACATGATAACTCTGAAAGTGTTGCTGATGTTTTTAGTAATTATTTTTTTGAAATTTTTAGTGAAAAACATAGCAGTTCTTGCTGTAATCTACAATGTTCTAATCATTCTTTTTTTCTTTTCCCCGTGAGCCCTGATGATGTTTCTACAGCAATCAAAAGTCTCAAAAAAACCGGCCCTGGTAGAGATAAAATCTCAGCACGACACTTAAAACTTGCAGTAGACATTATTTCTGAACCACTTTCTATAATTATAAACCTTGCATTCAAGCACGGCAGTTTCCTTACTTCTCTAAAGATAGCTAAAGTCCTTCCAATTTTTAAAAAAAGTGACAAGCAATCTACTAACTGTTGCCCCATCTGTATTCTTTCTTCCCTGAGCAGTCATTGAAAAACTATTAATAACTCGGCTAAACAAGTACCTTAATAAATTTAATATACTGAAGCCCTGTCAATTTGGCTTTCGCGCTGGAAGTTCTACTAACCTTGCTATTCTTTCCCTATCAGAGTTCATCAAACACTCCATAGACGCAGGATTTGTAGTAGGGTCAGTTTTCTTAGACTTCACAAAGGCATTCGATACCATTAATCATCTCATTTTATCCAAGAAACTCGAATCATTTGATATTACAGGTCCATCCATCAAATTTTTAAATAGTTACCTCCTTAACAGAAAGCATACTGTTTACATATCGGGCTCATTTTCTTCTACGAAAACAATAAATCAAGGGGTTCCTCAAGGGTCATTACTGGGTCCGTTACTTTTTTTTACTTTACATTAATGACCTTCCCGACATTATACACATGGCTCACTGCGTTTTATATGCTGATGATACTACCATTTCCATTGCTGATAGATGTATTGACAACGTCACTAATAAATTAAATGCTGTACTTTGTAGCGTGTCAAAATGGTGACAGGAAAATTTCTCAATTATTAATCCAAATAAATCTAAGTTTATGGTTTTTAGATCAGCTCAATGCAAGTTAACTTCCTCACCATAGCTCACAGTTGACTCTCATTTGATTAATATCAGCGACAGTGTATCTTTTCTTGGCGTTCACCTCGACGCTAACCTTAACTTCGCTCTACATATTGCTCACATTAGAAAAACGGCAGCATTCGGCACTCGTGCATTACTCAAAGCTCGCTCATATATCTCGGATGAGATTAAGAAGTTTGTAAATATAAAATGGCAGCAGAAAGCACAGGACCGAGTTGACTGGCAGATCATGGGAGAGGGCTTTGTCCTGCAGTGGACGTAGTCAGGCTGATGATGATGATGGCCGAGGCTGATTCAAACCCTGTATCTCTAGCCGAGGCTTTAAGATATTAGAATGTTGCGAGACTTCGTGTCAAAGCAGCAAGCTGTGCCACAGGCTGGGCACAGAAGCGTAAACTCTCTGGACAGCTTTTTCTTTTCTAGTGCTTTAAGGGCACCAGTCCAAATGAAAACAAGAAATTGCAGAACACAAGTAAATTACACTGCACCCGTTTTACTTGATTTCTGCTGTGCCCAATTGTTTTGTATTTTGGTGACTATTCAGTTTAGTGAATTTCAAGTTAGCTGAACTATTTCTTTGGGTCCCTTGAAGTTCACTCAAATGAGAGTTCAATTTACTAACACGATTGTTGCACATGTGTTATCAGCACTTAAAATTGTTTTTATGAGTGTAAAAAAGGTCGATAGCAAAAAAAAAAAGGTGGTGAAATTTTCTTTGCACATAAAAGCTGTGTACACATTCTTAACTGCACTAAAAAATGTAGCAAAGTTCCAATTGTCAGATTATTACAACTCAATGATTGCACCAGTATTGCAATAATCAGGTTATGTGGACTTTATTGCCAGCAATTTCAGTAACCAGTGAGAGGGCAATAGTAGCTCCGCATAAATGGTTATATGACAATCTCATGTAACAAGGCCTAATGACTCAATATTAATGAGAACTAATAGATAATGCCAAGAGAAGTATAGGGGATGTTATTATTAAAAGCAATTGTAATGGAAATGTGGAGCAAGAAAAGTGGATAAAAAAAATGACTTGCCACCGGCAGGATCTGAACCTGCGACTTTCAAATAATGCGTCCGGTGCTCTACCACTGAGCCAGGCGGCGGTCATCTCTTTGTCTACTGTATAGAGCAAATATGTGCACTAAACATGGGAGCGCCAATGAGCGCCGCCTGTTGCCATTGCGGCATAAATTCAGTTTTAAAAATGAAGTGGTCCCTTTCATAGATAACAAAAAAAGGCCATTAGTATGGTGAAAGAACAGTGAACTAACTTTGGCAACCTCCGTGTTGCTTGTCCAAGTTGGTTGTCAAAAGGCTTGAAACTTAAATGCCGAAAAGTTGTAAACCAGTGAAAAAACATGTTGTTAAACTGTATTATAAGGTGAGAAGCTGCATAAGTATTCTAGGGAACACTAAGGGAAATGCTCGTTCAGGCAGGGTGATGGTTCCCACCTCCAGAAATCCAAACATAGGTCACGGCTACTGAAAGCAGATGTGTGTAAACCCAAAAAAACCTTAAAAAAGAAAGACGGGGTCACACATCCAGTCATTCCAGCGTCAATGCTTTACATGATGTCAATGAGTATGCGATGTCAAGCTCAGGATAAAAATGACAAAAAAATTTTTTCACTAGATCCTGAACATCACACAATGACATCATTACTGTTATACTTTTGGATCAGTATTCAAGCAGGGTTATTTCAGCTGTCTATTTCTTCATTACAACTATTCTTTTGGCTTTGACCAAATGCAGAAATAGAGCTGAATATATAATGCACTGATGTAGCCTGATGAGTGTTTCCCTTCAGATGTCCTAAAACAGGAGGGAGGCAAGTAGAACAAACACAACAGCCAAGCACATGCCAAGCAAGGTTAGGTCAATGAAAGCCTTTTTTATTCCCCCCCCCCCCCCCCTGAAAAGATAAACTAACCGTGAGACCGGTGGCCATAAGCTCTTCTGGCACCAACTCGGGCTTGAACTCTGCTTTGGTGATCCATGCGCAACGCCTGTTAGTTGGCAGCGCATTCACAATGATGTCACCATTATCTGCAGAAGACAGAAGAGCAACAAATGAAGACTTGTGGTCCTGAGGCAATATATGGGCTAAAAGAACTCACTAAAACCAGTGGCAGATGCAGTTCTTGTAGCCAGGCGCTCACTGAGGGGTACAGCAACCGATTCCAGCCTATGTGTGACTGTAGGTGCTACGTGGTTGCTAACAACCTGTGGCTCAGCTGATGCCCGGGGCTTGAGCCTGGCTGGTGCAGGCGGGCAGACAGCCACAGGTGGTACAGAGAAGCTGGCAGAAGCTGGAGGCCTGGGTGGAGCCAAGGGTCCCAGGTCCGTCCGCAACTCAGCAGGAGAAGGCACTGCAAATGACAGGAATCCCATTCAGTACAAGTGGAAAGACTTACCAACAGCTTCTCCCAATGAGTACAAGGGCAATGGGTAAGCTATGAAAACAAGCCGACCATGTGAATGGTAACATAAGAACAGTGTGATGTGCTGATTTGAGTACACTCTAGTCCGAGCTAAGCGGCTCCCAATATGAACATTAACATCCTGATTCCCAATTATCTGACATTTTCATCACATTCACTTCTGAGTCACGAAATCTACCTGGCCCTTGTTTTCTTGTGCTACTGCCATTAAAAGCTAGCTCAAGGGTTTATATCTAAATACACTAGAACAGATTAACTTTCTCAGCCACCACAGAGAAACATTCTAAGCCAGTGCTATTTGATTAAATTTGCTGATATTATGAAAAGGGTTAAAATCTAGAAAATGCACTACTTTTTTATTTTGGCTGCTAATTCTTTAATTATTCAAAAGTGAAAATCTTGAACAATTATGTAAAGTCGTTAGTGAAAACAAGTTTGCCCTTCACATGTCTAAGTCACTTCTCTTGTATACATCAGTTGATGCTTAGCTCATTGAGACAATATCAAAATGCATAATCTTGCTTGGCATCTATACAAGTTGGTCAAGCTGATGCACGACAAAGCTAGTACACACCAGATACTCACAAAGCCCAGACTTTAGAAACAACAGTTGTGTTTCACTTTTTGTCCTGCATCATGCATATCCTGTCCGATTAGAGACCATAGCTGGTACATGGAACCATCATACGCTAGCACCGCACTGTGGCAGTTGACACATTCAAAAAATCAAAGAAAGAAAGAAAAGCCAAGGCCAGAATGTGCACCGATGTAACTTCATGCCACTTTGTTATCCTCGCACTGCATAGGTTCCAGTGCGAGGACAAAAGAGAGAAAGCACTCAAGGCCTGCGGGAAATCTCTAACTTCGCTTCTACTTGATAGATCCAAGAAGCTATTGCCAAAAGAGATCTGCGTGTCAATAAACTCCTATCATGGGGTCATTCGGTGCTGTTACGAAAGTGCGACACCAACACGGTCCCGAAGGCGCCAATGCTCCGAACTCCACCGCCAAGGTCACCAGCCGTTAGGTACTGTGTGTTACTCAGCTCGCGACTGCTTCTGCGCAGAGCTGATAGACGAGCGGACGAGACGACGGTGAGTTAAGGCAAGGTTTATGTACAGCATAGAAATAGAGGCGTTACATATTCGGCACTGGGGGCCGACAGCTTAGGGACTCGAAGAGCCGAGATGTCTTTTCTCATGCATACGTCGGTCGGCTTCTCTCTGACGCATAGATCAACTGCTAGCGACGCGACGCTTCGCTTTTTTTATAGGCAACCGGGTGAATTTTTTCCGTCACCAACGTCCAACCAGAAGCGCCGCTGGCCGTTATGTCAGAACCCTCTAATGGGAATTCGCCACTGGGCTGCGTCATTGCCCGGGGTTGCACCTAAGGACGAGTAATGTTGCCACGCATTGCGTAAGACTCGCCACACTGGAAGGCGCCGATTGCTTCATCGGGCTCGCGGGCTGAGGGAGCTTGCTGCACGTTGTGTAAGAAAGACCGCCGCCACCGCTTGATGACGTCGTTGAGTTGATTGCGTCAGGCGGGCTCGATCGCTGGCCTTGACACAGATTGCCTTTGCAAAGGCATTGACGCTCGGTGTGGACTCCAAGGCATAACAGCAACCCCCCCCCCCCCCCCCCCACACACACACCAGACAATGCACGAGAAAGACGAGCTGCTTCCACGTGGCTCGGATGTCGGGCGCGCTCGTTCTTCAGGTCCCTCCAGGTTTGCCTCCAGGGCCATGGGGACACTGTAGCTCCAGACTCAGTTCTGTGAACACATCCCCTTCTTGAGGACGGATCCCAGCTCCACTGGCTTGTCGCCACAACTTGTAGGCCTGCTTCGCTCATCTCTTCTGACGATTTTCGGTCTCGGCACTTGTCGATGGTTCTGCAGCTTGTCAAGAATGGTTCAACAACAGACAACACACAACACAAGCAAGTGCCCTCGGTTACCCGACAGAACACCAGACAAAGTATAGTACAACATATACCTAGCTACGTGTCTATCGGAATTTCGTTCCCTCTACATCAAGAGGCACATGTGGGACACAAGACTCTTAAAATGAGAACTCAAATTTTTACACGTACAACAACGTAATGAAGTAGAATACAACATAAAGTTGGCCCCTTGATATCACTTTGGACGAGAGTGCTCAGCTAAGGCCGTGATGAGGACAAAATTTTGCCCCAAATCGCCAGCGAGAAACCGAAAGATGGAGAAGGTACTAACTAAAAAGCATGGCTCAATGCATCTGCATTAGCGTTTAGCTTTCCTTTTTTTTTACCGAACGTCAAAGTTGTGCTGTTGGAGTATCATGCTCCCCCTTAGTAACCAGCCACTTTTAGGCGACATGTTATTTAACCAGGTTAGAGGACAGTGGTCCGTTTCGAGCACAAACTTCGAACCGCAGACATAACAGGCTAGCTTTTGAACCGTCCACACGAGGCAAATGCATTCCTTTTCAGAGGTGCTGCATGTCTCTTCCCTGCCGCTGAGTTTTCAACTTAAATACAAAACAGGCTTTTCATTACCAGCACTATCTTCCTGGCACAATATAGCTCCCATGCCGCGATCATTCACGTCGCATTGAATCGGATATCTCCTAGAAAAATCGGGTGCCATGAGATCAGGCTTTTTGCTTAGGGCCTGTTTCAGCTGCAAACTGCATTCTCCTTTTCCGAGTCCCATACTACTTTAACCGGCTCGGACTTTCGAAGTGCGTCAGTTAGAGGGCTGGCAATGCTAGAGTAGTTTTGCACGTAATGCTGATAGTATCCAGCTAGGCCCAAGAATGCCCTTATCTCAGATTTTGTGGTTGGTCGTGGATAATTCACGATGGCGGCTACCTTAATTTCTGAAGGTCTACACCGGTCACGCCCCACAACGTGTCCCAGGTAAGACACCTCGCCGCACCCTAAGCGACATTTAGTAGGTTTCACGGTAAGACCAGCTTCTTTCAACCTGTTCAGCATGACTCATAAATGCTTGACATGTTCTTCCCAGTTGTCTGAGAAGATGGCGACATCGTCAAGATACGGCAGAGCGAACTTAGAGTGGCCATTAAGAAGATAGTTCATTAAGCCTGAAAAACAAAAAGGCGCATTTTTTAATCCAAAGCTCAGCTTAAGTCGACGATACTTTCCGAATGCAGAAACGAATGTGGCATAGCGGCTAGCATGCTCTGAAAGGGGGACTTGCCAATACCCTCGCAAGAGGTCTAACGTGGAAATATAGCTAGACTGTGACACAGTTTCTACCCTTTCCTCTAGGTTTGGTATCGGGTAAGTTTGGTCTCGAGTTATAGCGTTAAAACACCGATAATCGATGCATGGCCTCGGATCTTTTCCCAGCACTTGAACCAATATTAGAGGGGATGTATAGTCACTCTCGCCCGGTACTATGACTCCCAACTCCAGCATTTTATCGATCTCCTCTTTCATGATCTGCTTTTGCACAGGGGAACATCGATATGGCTTGCTACAGATTGGCTCCTCACAAGTTAGCTCGATATTGTGTTCAATCACTGTCATGTTTCCAAGACGGCCCGAAAACACGTCTTCAAACTCGGAAACAATCTTTCTCAGGTCCTCCTTCTGGACTTCACTTAACCAAGGCTCTAGGTTCAACTGCTCCAAGATTACCTCCTATCCCCTTTCGATTACATCACTAGAGGTCAAAATTTCTGCTCCCTCTTCCTCTGAAGCATTCAAAAGCAGATTTACGACCGCTTGATGTTGAACATACGGTTTTATCAAGTTACTGTGGTAAATTTTGTTCGGCTGCATTCCTAATTTCACTTCATAATTGGTGTAAGAAAGCTTCGATATTACTTAGGCAGGGCCTTCCCAATGAACTTCAAGCTTGTTCTTTTTGGACGGCCGCAGCAGCATTACCTGACTACCTACATCAAAGGTGCGCTTCTTCGCCGATTTTTCGTAGTACTTTTTTGACAACGCTTGTGCAGCCTTCATGTGGCTTTTCACAAGATCTTTCGTTTTTCCAAGCCTCTGAAGGAGGTCTAGAATATAGGCAACTACATTAGGGTCCTCATTGAATCCCTCCCTGGACTCGCGTAGCATTCGCAATGGTGTTCTCAAACTCCTGCATACACAAGCTGTGCAGGGCTAAAACCAGTGCTCTCATGAGGAGCTGATCTCAAAACGAACATAGCGGGAGAAATACACACTTCCCAGTGGCATTTGTGCTCGTAGCAAAGAGCTCTCAGTATCTGTTTTAGAACAGAATGCATACGCTTTATTGGATTAGATTGCGGGTGATGGATCGAGCTGTGCACTACTTTTATTCTACATTTATCCAAAAAGGTAGAGGTAAGGCAGCTGGTGAAGACACTACCATTGTCGCATTGGATTTCAGAAGGAAATTTGACGCGTGCAAATATAGATAGCAGTGCATCCACGACATGCGGGGAATTGAGCTCCTTAAGTGGTATCGCTTCCGAAAATTTTGTGCCAACACATAGGGCTGTCAGGATGCACCGACAACCTTGCCTTGACTCTGGCAATGGCCCGACGATATCAATTACTAAACGCCGAAAAGGTTCTGTGATAATTGGCACAAGCTTCATGGGTGCCTTCCACTTGTCCGTGGATTTCCCTGCTCTCTGACAAGTGTTGCATGAGCGTACAAGGTCTTCGATATCCTTCTAGCATTTCAACCAATAAAAATCAAGGGAAACTCTAGCCTTGGTCTTTTTTATGCCGAGATGCCCTGCCTACGCGTTTTCATGCGCCAGTTTCAATAGTTGGCGACGATACTTTTGTGGCACCAAGAGCTGCTCATGCTTGCTACCTTGCACATTTGTGTAGCTCCGATCAGGAACCCTGCCTTCTCAAAAAAGGAAACATTCTTTTTCATCTTTCTCAAGTTTACGCTTTCCATTATTGCTTTAATCGAGAGGTCTCCACGCTGCTCTCGAATGAGCGTTTCTCGATCAACCCTCAACAGCTCACTCTAACTTTCCGCTACAGGCGAAAGCGTTGCACCCCTCTCGCTCTGACTCAATGGCGCCATGTCGTCTCCTCCGCCGACAGAGACCACGCCAGTCGCTTCGGCGACAAGCCTCTCGAGTGACTGCTCAAATGACTCACACAGAGAATTTCGTGTCTGAGGTTCCGTCGCCTCGCCGCCAAGGTCACACAGATCAGCAGCTTTTGCACTTGGTAATAAGGGCTGCAGCGCGAGCACGAAGGTGCTAGAAGAAATGTGAAATGAAAGGCGAGGCCAAATAGCCGTTCTTCTTTGCACTCGGTGCTTCACCACATTGAACAAGATCAAGTTCCTGCGAAAGCTTCTGCGTTTGCAATCGCGTGAGGGCCATGTACGCTAAGTTGGAGGAGAACGATTTACCCTGCTCTTTGAGAAGCTGCTCTGAGTTAGTATAAAAAAGACAAGGAAAATGATGAGAAAGCGCGGCAGACACAGCCGCTTCGGTGCGAAGCTTACCGAACGGGCCTTCAATGACAAACGTAGCGATTGGTAAGCAAGCACTCTGCTCCTCGGCGACTTGTCTGATCCACGCACATTCTCCTGTAAAGTCATCCGGAGACACCAACGAAGGATGGACAACATCCATGGTTGCCGCTTAGTCTCGAAGTGCTCGACACGTTTTCCTATTCACAGTAATTTCTTGGAGATATGGCTCTAACAACCACATGTTCTTTTCCGATTCTCGGATTGTTGCGAAAGCAAACTTTTGCTTACAGTTTATCGCGATGTGCCCTTTGTAGCAAATTAACGGCTTCCGTGATTCAAACCCCCATTTGGTATCAGTGCGTTGTTTAGGAACCTCACTCAATTTCTCCGCTTCCGTTTGCCCTTCCCCTACAGTGTCCTTCGTAAGAGACGGGTCCTTCTTGAAATTACGGTGCGGAGCGGGTTTCCGTTGATTAGGTTTCTTTGAAAAGCCCTCTTTCATTTCATCCTTTTCAACACACACTGCCCTGCTATGCAATTTTCGACGAGTATAATACTCCTCAGCTAACTCTGCTGCCTTGTTTAGCTGTATTTCACTAAGTTTGTCATGCAGCCACAGCTTGACATCCTCCTTGATGCAGCGGTAGAATTGCGCCAATGCAATGCATTCTACCACTTTATTGTGATTGCCATAAACACCTTCGCCCTTGAGCCATTCAATTAAATCGACTTTAAGACGAAACGCGAAGTCAACGTGTGACTCATTCCCCTTTTTAGCATACCGGAACCTTTGCCTGAAAGCCTCGGGGGACAACTTATAACCTCTCAAAAGCACTCCCTTAACCTCGTCATAGATCTCAAAGGCTTCCCTCGACAAGCACGTTATCACGTCGGACACTTCACCGGGAAGAACAGCTAACAGGTTCTGAGCCCAAAGAGACTGCTCCAAAGCATTTCGCTCACAGACATGTTCATACTTGACGAGATACTTTGCCATGTCCTCGCCTACTATGAACGGTGGCAGTTGGTCCTGAATTCTATAACCGCTGACCTGAACTGTCGCAGAAGCTATGCTAGGCGCCTGTGAACACTGTAAAATTGCCAATTCTATTTGTTTCATCTCGAGGTGCTCCTGTCTCTTGGCCTCCCCGCGCTCGCGAAGTTCGCGCCTTTGAGCTTCTTCACGTTTGCGAACTTCTGGCCTTTCAGCTTCTTCGCGTTCGCGAACTTCTACATCTCGCCTTTCAGCCTCCTCACGGCGTGCTTTGATATCCGCCCAGGCCTCACTGACTTCCTCAGCCGACACTCCATCTTTCATGATCTCAAGGATCGCTTGCTTTCGTTTCGATGGCCCAAAGTAAGGCCAAGTTCCTCACAAATTTCGATGAGTTCCTTTACTTTAAGGTTCTCCACCGTTCACACTAGCCTCTTGCTGTTTGCCCCTGTTAAGAATCTACTTGCCGTACCCACTATAAGTCTACTAGCAAGACGTGCAAGCAATTTTTAACACTGCCGTATTTACACCCTCCGCATTAACTTTGGTTTCAAAGCGCTCCGTCTTGGTTGAAACAATCAAAGCTCACTCTAATGCTTCACACAGCCCTTCTCTAAACTACTATAACCTGTGCTAGAGTAGTCTGGTGAACTGAGGGGAAAACATCAGGCACTCACCGCATCAATGTCGCTGAGGCCAGCAAATCCTGCAGCTGCCATCCATTACGAAGCACACCGCCGCCGACGTTACCATGGGCACCACGAAACTCGCCGCTTACAAGGACACCGGCCGCGCCGACAGCGAAGGGGCTCGAAGCAACGAGATGTCTTCTCTCTGACTCATAGGTCAAGTGCTGGCGACAGGCCGCTTGGCTTTTTTTATAGGCACCGGGTGGATCTTTTGCGTAACCAACGTCCAACCAGAAGCGCCACTAGCCATGATGTCAGAACCCTCCAATGGAGATTCGCCACTGGGCTGCGTCATGATCATCGCATCCGGAGCCGCTGTGCGGGGTTGCACCCAAGCTCGAGTGATGTTGCCACGCAATGAGTAAGACTCGCCAGACTGGAAGGCGTCGATTGCTTCATCGGGCTCGTGGGCTGAGGAAGCTTGCTGTGCGTTGCGTAAGACAGACCGGCGCCGCCGCTTGGTGACGTCGTTGAGTTGATCGCGTCAGGCGGCTCGATCACTGGCCTTGACACAGATTGCCTTTGCAGAGGCATTGACGCTCTGTGTGGACTTCTAGGCGTAACAGCGCATAGGCATGCGCAAGGTTCCCAATTAGAGAAGGGCGAGTCTCGTCGCAGCTCCCCCTGCCGTTGGCTGAGTTAGAATGAAAGCGAGCTTTACAGTGGATGCAAAAATGAAAATGGAGCGATAATGTGCCACTAAGAATGCCCTCCCTTACATCTCTGGCTTTGAGGAGGTGAAAATGGGAAGTACACAGCTCTTGAAATGCAACATCAATGCTCCTCGGCCATTATTACCATCAAAAACCTGCATGGCTATATGCAGGTTTTTTGATGGTAATGGTGGACTTTAAAATTGCACTTTAAACTAGACGAGTCAAACTATGTAAAGGTATGGGGCAGACTAGGTGACCCGTCAGATGATTAGCTCTCCACCCCCCTTCCCCCTCGACTCCCTGCCTCTTTGTGCGCATGCCTATGATTCAGCAATTACTTGTAAAGGTGTTGCAAGAGCCTTTCAAACACGTATTTCAATTCATTATGGTTGTCAGCATTGCTACTATACTTCCAGTCTGTTGTCATTTCAGGCCTAGCTAATACATTAACAAAATGTGTTTCCCAATAATTATGTACCTTTCTTGAGCAGGGCATCCATCTTAACGGGTAATGGAGGCTCGACCGTCTGTATCTGTGAAGGTTCAATTGTGGCTGCTGCAGAACTATCATCATCGAACTTCACCCAGGAGCTCTTGGGGGCATCACTTGATTGGGAAGACTCTCTCGAGGGTGCATTTGGTGCAACCTGGGCCTCAACCTCAGGCACTAGCTCAGACTTCAAATCCGTGTTCTCAGACATAGCAGAACCTTAGGTCTTTCTGAAACACAGAATGGCACAAACTCAGTCACTACGTACATAAAACATGTTATCGCTTTGTAAGAAGAAACTGTCTATCCATACCATTCATCAGCAGAACACCTCAAAAAGTACAACACGCAAGCTCTCTGAATTCTATAATGACTAAAAGAAACAGTGGTGCTCCAGATTAATTCGACCAAACATTGATTGACATATATCGGAACAAAGGTATACAGGCATGACTGCATTATTTTCATGCACTGTTAACAGCGAGAAAGAGAAAATTGAGAGAAAGGCAAGCAGGTCAACCAGAATTGTAGCGTACAGTTTGCTACCCTATACTAAGGAAAGGAGGAATAGAGAAAAAGACCAGAAAGAAAGCTAATAGAAAAGCAGACGTGCGGCAAAAAGAAAAAGAGCAGGGGTGCTATAGCCTACTCAATAAGCCACTACTTCAATAGGCACTACACTTCCATATAGGAAGTGTAATGCATGAAAAAAAAAGGTATGTACAATTTGTCTTTACTGCAAAATACTATTCGACTATTGCATGCTGTGCAGTTGCACTGTGAAAAAATCTTGCTCTTCTATTTCACAAGTTCATGGTCAATAATACCAGTGGTACAGTATATACAATATGAAATTATCACTTGCTGCTTTACTTTCAGGATGCTCATGTACTGTACTTTTATTATAGTATCATCATCATCAGCCTGACTACACCCACTGCCGGGCAAAGGCTTTCCCCATGATCCGCCAATCAACCCAGTCTTGTGTTTTCCGTTGCCACGTTATTCCTGCGAACTTTTTAATCTCATCATCCCACCTAACTTTCTGTCTCCCCTTCGTGCGTTTGCCTTCTCTGGGAATCAAGTCAGTTACCTTAAATGACCAATGGTTATCCTGCCTACGCATCCTGTGCCCGGCCTATATCCATTTCATCTTCTTGATTTTAACTATGATATCCTTAACACTGGTTTGTCCCTGATCCACTCTGCTCTCTTCTTGTCTCTTAATGTTACACCTATCATTTTCCTTTCCATCGCTCGCTGCGTCGTCCTCAACTTAAGCTTAACCCTCTTTGTCAGCCTCCAGGTTTCTGCATTGTAGGTAAGTACCGGCAAAATGCAGCTCTTATATACCTTTCTCTTGAGGGTTAGTGGCAGACTAACATTCATGATTTGAGAATGCTTGCCGAATGTAATCCACCCCATCCTTATTCTCCTAGGTGTTTCACTCTTATGGTTCGACTCCGCGGTTACTACCTGTCTTAAATATACATATTCCTTTACAACTTCCAGCATCTCTCCACCTATCGCAAAGTGCTGTTTTCTCCCGAGACTGTTGCACATGACTTTAGATTTATGCACATTAATTTTCAGACCTACTTTCCGTATCCAGTTCGGTAATTATGAGCTGTTATTAATCCCTTGAGTTATTCATCACGGCAATGTCATCAACAAATTGCAGGTTACAAAGATACTTTCTATTAACTCTTATCCTTAACACTTCTCAGTTTAGGGCCCTACAAACCTCCGGTAAACACGTGGTGAATAGCATTGGAGAGATTGTGTCTCCTTTACACCTGTAATAAGTGGGAGAAAATTTGAAAACACCACTTTTGAATGACTGGAGAAGAAGAAGAAGTGCGTATATGGTCCATGGTGACACCGCTCGTGAGGGAGCAGGAAGAAGAGAACGGTTGTTGGAATGCTCGAGAAGCCAGGCGGGTTGAGTCAGTCTGACAGCAGGAGAGCACGAGGGTCGCAACGGCTACCGGTCCGTTGCAGCGCCGAACCTCTCACGGGTAGACTGCAGGCGAACTCGGACGACGAGCGACAATGGGCGACAACGGTGCAAGTGTCACCATCGAGACCTAAAAGCGAGTTTGTGGCTCCAGGGGCCACCAAGCCAGACAAGCTGATGCTTGCAGGACTGGCCTATTGGTGTTCTAGGCGTGGCCAAGTATGCGTCTGGCCAGCCACGCAACAGCAAAGCGGCCATCCCAGGGACTGTTGCGATAGCAGTACCATAACCTCAAGGCGACACAGCGACATGTCGGACCATCTCGTCGACAGAGACTCACGTGCAGTGGTGTGCTAAATGGCTGAGCTATGTCAGGGTCGGGGGAAGCACGTACCGAGACTAATGAACTGCAGAAATAATTGTGCCTCATGAAATTTCGAGATCATCTATATTATTGTAAATTTTTATATTTTGTGTCCATGTCGTATAAATGTGCTGTCATTGTTTACGTCACATCTCTTGTCGTTTAAGCACCTGGACCCATGCAAACTTGCCACACACCCTTTTTTATTGGCATTCTGTCTCTTTATGGAGAACTATGGTAGCTATGGATCCGCTGTAGATTTCTTCCAGAATGTTTATGTAAGGTTGGTTGATGCCCTGATTTCGTACTGCCTGCATCACTGCTGATGTCTTGACTGAGTCAAATGCCTTCTCGTAATCCATGAAGGCTATTTATAGGGATTGGTTGTATTCCACTTATTTCTCTGTCACCTGATTGATAGTATGAACATGGTCTATTGTGAATTAACCAGTACGAAATCTTGCTTGGTCCTCTGGTTGATTGAACTCTCAATGCTGCCCTAATTCTGGTGTATCTTGGAGGAGAAACGGTGATGTATTGTGGAGGAAAAAGTTGGCATTTTCATCAATGAAATTATAGTTATCGACAATCTCAAAAAATGTGAGCTGCGACAACACTTGAAAAATGCCAAGCATTTTTCAAGTGTTTCAGATAGTTGACTTCCCTATGAACACACGTTTCTAAGAAGTTTTGGTTTGAAAACTAGCCTGTCCTAAAAATTTTTGTAAAACATTCCAACGTCGCTGCTCAGCCAAACGTGACGTTTTAGGTAGTAGTGATAAACCTTTAAAGGGATACTTAATTAAAATATTAGGTCAATGTGTATTGTTCAAATAGCACCCCAGAAACCTCATAATGCCTGTTTCATGTGAACAAAGTGCTTAGCTTAAAAGAAAAGCACATTGTAGCTGTCTGCATACCATAAGCACAATCTAAACAACCGCCTACAAAAACAACCTTTTAATGTAGCCTCTGCATGCATTTACAGCTCGATAGCCAGCCAGTGCTGAAGAGCAAAGGGCTTTAGCAGGGCACAGCCCAGTGAAAGCAGAACTTGGGTCTTTGCAAGGCTGACATCCAAGTTTTTTTTTTTTTTTTCATTAGCCAAACTGAAATTCAAAGGTTTAATTTTATTTTGTTTTCCAATTCAATGAAATGTTTTTCTCTCATAAATAGTTTGAGAATGCCACAAAAACTTTTTCATGAATATTTTGAGTATTAATTACACTGAGGACCTATTGTATCATCGAAATTGTGATCCGGAATGTCCAACTGGTGGCGCAAATTGTGGTCTACATGTACCTTAATTTCTCTGTTACACATGCACTACTGAATATCATATTGATGTTGTAGACATTATTAAGCATTAACCTTTTACTCTGACATAAAATGTCACTTGCCTTGAGAGTTTTTTTTATTCTCATGAACATAGTATTTACATGTAAACATATTTGACAGAGAGATCTGTCTGGCTGGGTAAAAATTATACAAATATAATATTAAAAATTAAAGACTTAATTAGCTGAAAAGTTTGTTTTATTCATATAGTATTTACATGTTATGAGAAACAATACTCGTGTTTTGAGCACAAGCCGGCTAGCACGACTATCCTTCACAGGCGAAGGGCAGGCGCGCAGCGTTTCTTTGGGCGACATTTTTTCTTAGGCTGTAACTGACTACAGTGATGAAACAAGGATTTTCTTGTCATCACCGCCAAAACAGGTATATGCTCCAAGGCTATATCATTACTGCTATAGGTGAGCACAATAATAATCAAAGTTATTAATAGAAAGTTTAATTGATATAATTATTTAACTAATGTTTACAAAAAAATACCCAATGGAGGTAGTCAACTAGGTTTAGGTTGGTTTATAAATTTATAGGGTTTTATGTGACAAAACCATATGATATGACTATGAAGTGTGTTATAGAGGGTGGGGATTAATTTTGACAACATGAGTTCTTTAATGTGCACCTAAATTTAAGCACATGCATGCTATTGCATTTCACTGCCATTTAAATGTGGTCCTTGAAACAAGGAATCCAACTCACATCCTTGAGCTTAGCAAAGCGACACTCTACCTGCTAAGCTACCAAAGTCAGTAATTAGGTTGGTCATATCTGAGTAGCTAAGAGGACAAAATACTTGCCCTTTCAATTCAAGTGCACACATCCCACAGTGATGAAATCAGCTTACAGAAACTTGACGTACCAGCAGATACAATACCGAAAATGTCAGATGCTATTTTTCAACAATTGTGTGCTGTTTAGAGAAGGCCCTATTCTCAACTAATAATCTTCTCTTACCAGACTATAACTTAAACACACAATTAACTAGCAAATAAAAAGGCAACGAGGTAAACTTGTAGGTTACTAGTACAAAAAACGGCATAATATAGATAGTAGTGCAATTGCATGTATGGATTGTAAACTTGTAGGTTACTAGTACATAAAACGGCATAATACAGATAGTAGTGCAATTGCATGCATGGATTGCATGATTATGGAAACGCTGCAGTGGAGGGCTCCGAAAATTTCGACCTCCTGGGGTTCTTTTTAACGTGCACCTAAATCTGAGCACACGGGCCTCTACAGCTTTTCCACCTCCATTGAAAATGCATCCGCTGTGGCCAACATTCAATCCCGTGACCTGTGGGTCAGCAGCCGAGTGCTTTAGCCACTAGACCACCAAAGTGGGTATAATCACAACAATGAAAAACAGGACCAGTGTTAGAGTGCCCTTTTAAAGAATCCACTGTATTTAATAAAACCAACTTAAAGGGGCCCTGCAACACTTGTTCAGCATGGTCAAACAACACTGCTGATCGATAATTGAGGCTCCTGAGAACATGCCAGCCAAAGGTTATAGTGCAGCATGCGACCTGGAGCTTATAATTTTTATAACGTTTACTAAAATCATTCCCTTTTCTCTTGACAAATGATGCCATAAACGACTATGACATATACTTAATATCCACAGCCACTGTCAAATTTCAGCACCGTTAACTGCACAGTTATTGCGGCCACATCGAGATGCCACCATGAGCCCGCGCAGGTACTTGTGATTACACTGAAAGTAAGCTGTGCACTTGAAGAAAAAATGAAAGAAAGTGTTTAGGTCATGATGTGTGCTGATGAAGAGACCCATCACTTGACCCCTTGTCATCCCCTTCTTTGCAAAGTATTGAGAGCGCTTGCTGGTGCAAAAGTAGAGAGAAAACACTTCAAGCATGCAACGAATCCCCGTAGCTCCACTCGTACTTGACAGATTCTAAACATTTTTACAGCAACTCTTTTCATGAAGCCATCAGATGATTAAATAGTGTTGCAGGGCCCTTTTAAGCTAAGATCGCAAAGATGTGCCTAATATACTATTTGTAATTCAGACCTAACTTCACATATAGGCACTGTTCGGTCAATCAAATATGTATAACGTAATGTTACCACGTCTCATTGTATTTTATGTATAAAAAAGCTGAGTGATTAGGTAATTTACCTCAAAAATTTTCATATAAGAACATAAGTCTTGAATACAAATGACTGACAAAAAGCTAACATAAAAATATAGTGATGTGAATTATTTCTGTCTTGAAAACTTGAGAAATTTTTAGGAATCAGTAAGAAGCAGTTAAGTTACACCATAAACAGAAACTTGCATTTATTTTGTAAATACAGATGGTCGATTAAGCAGCATTTTAGTAAGCCTATAAAACAATGTGCCTTTATCTAAAATATTTATTTCATTATATTGCGATTTGCTGCAGTAAGAGGAAAGTGCACGTAGAGCACTCAAGTGAAATAGGACAATTTATGGGTAGGAAACAATTTCTGGCTAAGATTCATCATGACATGACGTGGTTATCTTGAGCAATTAGGTGTACAAGTCATTAAAATAAAAATTTCATGTATCTTGAATCAGCAAGTACTGTACAGTATTGAATGTACCTGCCCTTCCATTAAGTACGTGTGCAACTATACTAAACGCTGACTTGGCCAATGCATGGAAGTGACAAAGCACCGGCACAACTGTTCACTACTGCCAAGAGCAATCAGATTTATGGCTATTCCAAGCCAGCAAGCACTACATGGGGCGATTCCACAAAAGCTTTCAACTTCTTTTCACTCCCATGCACCATTTGGCGATGGAGCAATCTTACAAACAGCATTGCCCAACAATGTAACCATGATGACTTTCACGAGAACTTTGTCAACCATTTTATAGATAATGCTTATCTGGTCCATTTGTTTCAAGGATTCATACACTGTCTCTTTTGTTTGTTTGTTTTTTCATATCACCAGCAACTTGATAATGTTAAGGTTTGGTTAAGATTTGCACTGTTATTGTAGCTAATCCTGGTCATTCGAACCATTAGTGCACTGTTTATGCATTGTTTGTATAATACACTGTGTATTTCCCTGCTTGTACTTCACACAAGCTTAATCATAATGCCTTGTAATCCAACATGTGATATCACTAGCTGCATACTTGCACCTGTTTTTCTGTACTTGCTATTGTTCTTGACGTTACCATGCTTTGTTCCGATTTTGGTGTACTTGCAGTTTTTAATATTAGCCTACAATGTTCTTCGTTTGAATCTGACTCCTCTTACACAATGCCTCTGTGAGGCCTGTGAGGTATTTGTATATAAATAAATAAATAAATAAATAAATAAATAAATAAATAAATAAATAAATAAATAAATAAATAAATAAATAAATAAACGGTCTGCATTTGTTATTTTGTTGGTTTTTTAAGACTATGACCAATTTATTTAACTCCCATGGCACTGAAAACTTCTTTCCAAACAGAGCGTTCCTAGCACAAGAAATTGTGGTAGTGGTGTTGAAAGCAAGCATAAAAAAGCTCAATTGAGCGAATGATAGTATAGGCCTTCTCTTGCAATATGGCTGCCAGAAAAAATTTTAAAAATTTACACCATTGAATATGCCATTTAAGCTTTTAAATATTAGTTTAAACAGACTCTCAGTAGAGTTCCCAGCAGACAAATGCTGCTGTAGTGGGAAAAGGGTGAGTCAGGACATATCATGGCTTACAATACACCTTGCACACCAACCCACTCCACTTACACAGAGTGACTCATCATTCAGAGATCTTGTGTGATCCCCACCTGATCATGCCCCCTTTTTCTTTCTATTTAACAGAATTGAGCCTCCTTTCTCTACCAGCCCACATGACCCCAGCTAACTTTTTTCCATGATGACTCACTGAAAATGGTCCACGAAGCCCATGCTTGCTCAACTGTTAGCGCTGATCAAGTATGCACCAATATAAGCAGCAGCGTGATAGTTACATTATCTTGAACCGTTATAGACAGAGTAAATACGTTCATAATCTACACTAGTGAATCAGAAGAAAACCAATAAACAGACACAAGAATTATGAACTAACACGGCAGAAGATGTGGCTGTAACCAAAATATCTGCTATCCAAGTTTTTTCATTCGCTTTATGTGGAGCACTGGAAGAGTTCACCTGACTCGCCAGAAGAGCTGCACTATACATAGATCCATTTGGCCATCATTCTGTGTATTCCTTGCGCTCATGAAAAATCTTTTCACTTTTATTATACCTGCCTTTACATTGAAAGAGGGACCTACAAGCAGTGTTGGCGCTTAAAACAGTGTGTTTAACTCTGTGCCCCCTCCTAAGTACACTACTATATAGTGCTAACTACAACTGATGATTGCTTAACACATATTTATTTTTTGATAGCTGCTCTTCTAGGATATGCATCATTTTTAAAATTACAGTGTGCGTTTTTTCATTACCGCTTTAGTTATACATGCACTGAGATGTGTCTACCATATTCCTCACTGCTGAACCCGAGAGTTGAAAGCAAAAATATATATAGAAATAAATATAGAAGAAAACATTTCTTGCAGAACTTAATGTAGTATACCCTACATAAGCTGAACTATTATTACAGCTTTGTGGGTTCTATTGTTAAATTACTAATACAATAATTAGCACATAAAATGCCCTCCCTTCCTTCAAACGCATTTAGTCACTGCGACAAACACAGCCACTCTCTAGAGGTACACATTGCTCTCAACAAGAAGCCACAGTTGTGGCTATTTTGCGCACATAAGTAACGAGGAAAGGGGTCAAGGGGAGCACACCTCTTGAGCCCTTTCCTCGTAGTGTGGAATAGCATGGCTTATAAAAGAACAGCAACTCTCTCAGCTCCCCACCAAGTTTGTCAAATAGAACAATGCATATTGCAAGAAGACTACCAGAGTTACACAACTCGAAAATATAAAGAAAGAAATGATTAGCATAAGGGTTAAAAAGTAATTCATAGCTGCACGTTAAAAAAATGTGCTCTGTTAAGATACCAAGCTACAAAATACATAATTGAAGCAAAACATTTTTTTTAGATGACACACACGTTCAGAGTATTAGTCACAAATTAATATTTGCAAACAAAAAAGAAACGCACAAATATTTCAGTGTATCATACATTCACAATGTGACCATTGCAGATATCTGAGCTAAAGCTGTGCAAACACGAATTTATTGAAGTAAAAGAAGAAAACAGCACAAACTAGAAAAGAGGAACGAATAAATCACAGACAGGACGAGGGCCGACTAACAAGCGACTGTTTTATTGCTTCAATGCAATATAAAGAAAAAAGGTGCAGGGTAACAAGTCACAAATTTATCAAGAGATAGCTTGCAAAATGCTTGTGGATGACACCAGTGGTTATAGAGTATATGAGCAGCATTATGACCAGGCGACAGCGTTTATGGAGTTCTTTCATCATTTATGAACACTTATATGTATTTTTTTTCTTAATCAGGCATTGGGACAGCCCGATCGTTGTCATGAAACTCAGTAAATTTTACAGCTGAACAACTTTTTTCAACACTTCCAAATTAATTAATACAAGCTAGCTGTCGCCACGCGATGTTTCAGCAGTTTATTGCCCTGTGATAACACGACCTCAACTGTCGCGATCGCAAGCGACGTGGCCCATTTTCTGGATAACCCCGCCAACTGTCACGGTATGATCAGGGCTGTCTTGCCTTAAGATTACCAAGAATTACACATATACATAATCCTTGGAAACATACATGACGACACCCGAAACATGGCAAATACCAAAATAAAACGAACACTTCCTGGAACTTGTCGATGGTAAAAGAAAAGCATTATCGCATGCAACCTCTCGCCTAAGATGGGAACTTACTGCGGTGCGGAATCCTAGGGCACAGTACGTAAATTTAAAGACGTTTTCAGGCGCTACTGAGGAGAAACATAAAGTGACACAGACGTCCACAGCGCGAAGACCTTCAAGTATTCCGCACAGGCTCCATACGTAAGCAAAGAATCGACGAACTTGGGCGGCTCTGTCATAACAGCTAAACTTCCGTCACATCCAAATGCTTCAGCAGGTGGTACTCACGTTGACTGTCATGTTTCAGCACAAGTCCGCTCTTACGCAAAACAACCAACAAGGCGTGAAAGGTATGAAATGCGAAGAACCTCACCTAGTTACGTGAAGCAGGTAAAGACCATTCCTCAATGCGAGCTTTACGACTCCGAGGGAACGGAATACCTTTGGATTGAACCACGGTATGCGCCTCTCCAACGTTGTGCGTAACTACCTTCACGTAACTTATTACGCTCTTGTAGTACCTTAGACGTAGGCAACCAGGTAGCAGGGCCCGAAACAGCCGTAGTGGCTGTAGCTGTAGGTTGGCCGTAGCACCGTAGCGTATTTCCGATGGGGTTCAAGCCGTTTCCATCCCTTACGCAAAGCACGGAAAGACAAGCAGCCTAAACCACAAGAGTAGCCCGCTGAATTCCAAACTAAACTCAAGTTAAAACACTATTTACCAGAGAACGCTAAAACATGTCAGTCACTCGTGCGTTAAACTTCAGATGTTCACCAAATATCATTTTGTCGCGTGCACGTAGATAAGAGTACGGTTATAGCCCTCTAGTTTTGTTTTTTAGCATTCCCACGTGTACCTCCACTTGTAAATACATAAAGCCTGCCTAACATTGCCAGCGGCACACTGACATTAGCCGAAAAACAATAGTTGGCAAGCAACAGTGTGAAAAGTAAAGTGCACTGGAGTTTTTGTTATAATCGTGGTTTTAGCAGAATTTCGGTGCAGGAATCAGTTTAAGAATGTGGTCAGACACGTTATTAATACTCGTAATTTCTATATTCACGGCCTTGCTGAGCGAAGGTACGTCAGTTTTATGTTACGAAACCATTGTAACGCTAGACGTGGCGCATGCCGTGAGAATTTGATTGTGCACGCTGATCGCATTAAGTTTACTCTTGAATCTGCTCAAAGCCGCTCTTTTGCTGTTCTTTGAAGGTCTGACATGGCTTATGGTGTACAGAACCGACAAGTACCAGAAACTAAAGGCGGAAGTTGAAAAACAATGTAAAAGACGTAAGTGCGTTATAGCGCGCGCGCGCGCGCGTGTGTGTGTGTGTAAAATTTCGATTAGTTAGCAGTCAACCATAGCGTATTCGATGTTGCAGTGGAAAAGAAGAAAGAGGCTCACGGCGAGACAGCCGCCCGACAACAGAAGAAGAAGATAGGTAAGGTTTGAACTTTCTTTATTGCGCTTAGTCGGCGATTCTCTTTCTTTCTTGCTAATTGCATTCCTCGCAGAACGGGAAGAAGAAAAACTGAAGAACAACAACAGAGACCTGTCACTTGTGAGCAATTTCCGGCTCTCGTTGCATATTTTAGCACTGTGACGCACATGACTTGGCCCACTTCTATGTCTGCTTGCAGGTGAAAATGAAGTCGATGTTTGCCATAGGCTTTGCCTTTACAGCGCTTCTCAGCATGTTCAATTCAATGTGAGTGCTTGTTCTTCATTACATTTATAAAAGGCAAGCAAGGTGTGTTTTCAAGTAGTATGAGCCTTGTGCAAACTGGCTTGCAGTCTTTAGTGTGATGTGCAAATCTTCATACAGTATGCATGTGCCTTAAAAAAATGCTTCATGAACCTGTCGCAGTATTAAGAATTTTCGATGACGTGTGTACTACTTATCCGGCTAGTGTCATACCAGCAAAATGTCTGCAGTGAGAAAATTACACAAGCTGTGCTTGTGTAGTTGCCACTCAGCAATTGCTGCCTCTTTTTCTTTTTTTGGATTGCAGAGAGCAAACAGATGTGCCATAATGCCATGTATGAAAACCAACAGAAAATGAAGCCAGGGAAGGTGTAGGGGACATTAATGGCACTGTTTTGTGTGTATTGTAAATGTGATGTAGTTACACGTACACCCTCAAACATTGTGAAAGAGAACACTTAGAGTGAATCTGTAATCACTGAGTCAGCACTATGGCTGGTTTGGTAGGCTGGTTGATGGAAAATAGAGTTTTGACATTCCAAGAAAAACTGTTGGGCTAAGCAATCAATGAAGTACAGGCACTGTCATGAGAGTCAACTGGTGTGAAGGGGCCTATTGTACAGCAAAATGTATTGTACAAGTGGAAAGCGCTGCACTCTCCCATGCTCTTTTGTGCTAACCTTTTATTGGTCCAGTTGCCATGCTGTTTTTCTTATATCTAACCAACTAACCCAACTTCGCACTCATCTGAGTTTTGAACTGCTGGCTCTGACAAGTCACTGCATATGCTCATGTTAATACAAGAATTGCATGTCACCAAATTTTCGTACAATCAGTGCAGTATAACTAGCAAATCTTTATACTGAAATAAAGGAAGTTTGTTACTGCCATTTACAAAGCATTGCCTTGTTAAATAAGTGCACGGGTTCCTATGAGAATTTCTTCTTAAACTGGGATTATATCATAACCAATTTTATCTTGAATTTTGCCTGCATATCATCTGTAACTGGTGGTTTTAGCATTATTTAATCTTAATAAAATGTTGTAGTAGCAGTGTCACAGTTTGTGTGCATATACTCTCAAGCATTTGGCAGAAAGGTGGGCTTGTGTGAATATGTGACGTATGAAGTGATGGTAGATAGAAGCCGAGAAGGAAGAAGGCAGAACGGAATAAAGATGGCGTATGAGCCAGGCCACGTCTCCCAGTCATCATAGCGTCACACAAGTCGACAGGATGAAGATCTCGCAACCACTTCATCGCCCGGCCATCATCATCGAAGACCTCAGCAAGACGCAGTGACCGAACGCGGACCACCAAGACCACCAAGCATCATGACAGCAGCATCAGAAGACCTTGACATCCCTAAGTACACCGGATCAGCGGACGACGGACCCGTACAGGACTGGTTCAACCTGTTCGAGCTCCATGCCACCGCTGCATCATGGTCGGAACAGGAGATGATCATCAACTTCACTGACTACATCTCAGGTGAGGCATTCAAATTTTACCTCACCCACATCTTCGAGAACGATGAGTCTTGGAAAAAAGATCAAAGAAGACATGATCACCCGTTTCAAAGAATACGATGAAGACCTGTACATACCTCATCAGCTGAAGTCTCTTCAACTCAACCATCACAGTTACGCGAAGTCTTCCCGCAGTAAGCGTATTTCCCAAACAAGACATCAGAGTAAATATTCCACCATTGTACCATCGTATGACTCGTCCAAGTACACTTCACGCATTACAACTCCAACTAGGGACTTGCATGTCGCAGCAGAGAAGGTAATGGCACCGTATGCCGATAGGAATGTAGACCATTTTGCCAAAAGACCGAACTTACGGTTGGATTTTTCACGGGCAAATAAATCGGCATTTCCAATGTATTTATGGCACCATAATACTTCAGGTATTACTGAACAACCCGAATCACTTGATGCTTCGTGTCGCACACATGGCCCACACGGCTTCGGACGCGTGACGGCATTTACGCATGACGAGTTAGTAAATCCACATGAAACCAAACCAGACAACGAATGTTCACAGAAACATCATTCGTTCAAAGTATTCAGCTCAGCAGTTCCATCTCCTGTCATCAACTTTACTGATAAACCTGATGAAGCACCTCACAAGATCGTAGCATTTACGCATGACGAGTTAGTACATCCGCACGAAACCAACCCAGACAACGAATGTTCACAGGAATCTCATTTGTTCAAAGGATTCAGTTCAGCAGTTCCACAGAGACAGAAGCATTCACAATCAGCATCTTGTGAAGAAAAGTGTTCTGCAGAAGCGTCGAGTGTTCATCAATCACAAGATCGAAGCGACGTGAATCCAGTATACAACCTCACTGCATATAATGAAAACAAAACCGCAGGTGCGACTTCTGATGACATAAGTACGCTTCAGGCAACGACCAACAATGAACGGTTTATAAACACAAAAGATTCAAGTGCATCAAACCCGCCACATTATTTTGCGCCGGAAACAGTTGCATTGGTTGGCGTCGTAGAAGCCTGCGGAGTACTCGCTAAGAATCCTGGCGCAACACGATCAATGTCGCACCACAAGCAAGTACGAAACGAAGAAATTACAACGTCAACGCATACTTCAACATTGTCAACGGCGAAACAAAACTTCATCAAGTGCACTCTTAAGGCTTGAAGAACATTGCAAAAAGGCCCATCGTGGTGGATACATACTCCACCAAAGATCAAGAATGTGCCTTCCATCAAACCATCTGCGACATCGCCATAGAAAAATTTGCAAAAGCCACAAAAGCACCCCTTGTACTCGGCAGAAACACAGGCAGCGCCCAATCAACCTCGATCATCGCGCACGCAAGCTGCCTGCACGACCTGTGCCACGACGAAGAATTCGATGCCTACGATATCTGAACTGTCCATTCTGCAAGGTGTTCGAACCTCGTTTGTTCTTCACAAGAATGCCGGCTGCGATTTCCGCTATCTCCACGTCCAAAGCATTCTTGTGTTATCTAGGATGCAACCATCAGCCTCGCCCACCAGAACTCCTGCGTTAACCGGACTGCTGCACTCTTTCCTGAAGTTTTGCGAGTTTACGGAACACAACGGGGCCATGAAACCAATTGTACATTTTGACATTTGTGACTTCTCAACCTCTCCTTGTGTACTTTTCCTTGTTCGTAATCCATGCCTTCTGCCTTCTTTCGGGGGGAGGGGGAATCCTGTGACGTATGAAGTGATGGTAGATAGAAGCCGAGAAGGAAGAAGGCAGAACGGAATAAAGATGGCGTATGAGCCAGGCCACGTCTCCAAGTCATCATAGCGTCACAAATACGTAGTAAAGAACATTAAATTATTTTAATTATGAACAGATCCACCAAAGAAGAAGTGCAGTTACTTTGCAAGTAGTTGGAGAACTTATCAATGCCCTGTTATATACTTCTTCACGTGCATACAAGACAATCTTTATTTTTATAGCAGGAAATTGTTTTATACTGGGCTCCACCAAGAATTATTGCGTACATGTACATCACAGAAGTGACTTCACGGAAGGAGCACACAAGCTTTTGAACATCTTTGCAAGGTGGTACCATTTTGCCATTGTCCTAGCCTTGTGCTCCGACGGGCGACTGCAGTAATGATACTGTTTTGTCGCTTCGATTCTTTTCCACGTTAGATTAGTCTATGATGCCTGGTTGCCTTCTGAACGCAACTTAAAACATGTGGTAGCAGTATTTGTGCGCCACCTACTTCTTCTATACCAATAGTGCCAAGCAGCAGTATACTGCTTCATTAAGTGCTGCAGAATAGCAGACATTACCTGGTGAGTGTCTTGAAATTGACTGTGTTGGACCAGCAAGGGATATTCCAGCAGGAAGTACAATACAGTAAAAGCTCGTTAATTCGAATTCCACAGGAACGCTGAGCAATTTCGAATTAAACGAAATTCGTAATAATGAAAGTGAGCAAAAAGTGGGTGGATTTTGGGGGTGGGGGCACGAAAAATATTTATTGGCCAAAAAAGTCGGTCATGACCATCTGCTTCTTTTCTCTGAATGCCACAGCTGCGGCTCTCTGTTCCAGCGCGCGGACGTGGCGCAGGGAATCCTCTTCACCCTCTTCAAAGCTGAAGAAGAGACGCGCATCATTAAGTGCCTCCATCACCGCAGAAGCTGACAGGCGCACAGGCGCTTCGTCATTTTCGTCTTCCTCACCTTCTGGCTCTTCAGCATCAGGCTGCGCACCGGCTACTTGAGCGATAATGTCCTCATCAGTCAGGGCACCACACACCGATGCACCGGTGTCAACTTCAACATAATCGGCAAAACGTACGCCCCAAAGAGTGTCGCGCAATGCCACTGACATGAGCTCCTCAGCCCCATCCATGTCGACGTCACAACTATCCTGCGCACTTCCAGCTGCAAATCCACTGTGGCGGAAACAGTTTGCGATTGTGGTCGCGGTCACCTGTTCCCATGCGCGCACCAACATGTGCATGGCAGTGAGCAGCGTAATGCCAAAGTCCTTCCTGTCGCCCGCGCACAAAATCATTCGTGAACGAACAGCGTGCTCGAGGAACAAAGTGACGCTGCCGGGAGCGGCCTAGGACTGCTAGGACTACTCCGCCGACTCCTCAGCGTCCCGTGGGTCCCGCGTACAAGTGGCGCCAGGCGCTGAGATAGCGGGAGGGCTACGAAAAAAAAATTGCTCCCTGGATTTTGAAGGCCATACTTTGCTCGCCCTTTGCTCGGAGGCCACTTGAAGCTCGAAAAAACTGGTCGTGCCACCTATCGTTCGACCGTAAAAGCTTCCACTAGTGTTTGACGATGATGACGCTTGGCGGCACGTGCTTCGAATTATCCGTAGAGGCAGCAATTTCTGTTCGAATTAACGAATCGTTTTACACATGGTCTCCTATGCACTGCGGACCGGTCTGCGGCGACCATTTCGAATTATCCAAAATTTCGAATTAATGAGGTGTGAATTAACGAGCTTTCACTGTAAATACATTTGCACGTTCCAGGCACACACTACAAAGTGTGCTGCTTGCATTTCTGTAGCTGAGCACATCACTAGCTACTGGGCTGCCAAAGACGCTAACTAAGCTGGACGGACATGTCTGCACCGTTGGTCACACCACTTGGCAACAGGAAGCTGTTTGCCAACGAAAGTTTCAAGAGAGCTGCTGATTCACAAACATTGTGCTTATTGTGGTTGTGGTGTACGAGGTCATGTAATGATTTGCAGACGCTCGCTTCAGCTTGGGGAGTGTATGCTGGTGTGGCTTGAGCGGTGCATGTGTCCCTTTTGCACCCCATACCGACGCCCATGCATCAATTCATTTTTGGTCTTGTCTACATCGAGACGAAAGTAGTCAATACCTGCACCTGCAGTTCTGTGCCTAATCTACTTTCAACTACAGCACTGTAGGCCATATGTTGTTTTTACAGGGCACCTGTGGTAGCTTTCAGGTGTTTGTGCATGTGTCAGATTTTTTTACATGTGTGATAAATGCAAGGATATTTTATGCGAGACCCATCCTGATTTATCAATCGCATACTTCTTCAGCTTCGATGGCCGGGTTGTTGCCAAATTGCCCTTTGTGCCAGTTTCTTGGATTCAGAGCCTCTCGCACAGGAATCTGCCTGGAGAAGACTATACTGACTGTTCCTTTATCTTTCTTTACATCCTCTGCACCATGTCCATCAGGCAGGTGAGTGTTGCCCTGCAGTTTTATTTGTAGTGGAAAGTTTCCCGCAACAAAACTTTCAACATGTATTCACGTCGGTACTTGGGTGATATGTGCCAAATTTTAAATTGGTAGCTGATTCTGGAATCACTTTTGTAAACGCGAACCACCCTGTGTATGTGATGTAAGGGGCTAATCTTTTTCAAAAACCCTGCCTTTCCCAGCAGATTGATGCAGCACGCGCTTTCTTCTACGAGGCGACGACAATACGAGAACAGTTGAGTTTTGTCAGCTGCATACAGCGTGTTAGTAGTTGTCGACTTCGGGTCTTACAATACTGAGCAACGATAAAATTGATTCGGGGCCTCAGATGCTTCATGTGCCGGCAGGTCGAAATCAAATAGCAATACTTCAGCACTCAGATAGTCGCTGCAATCATCGTTGAACTTGTCACTGGCAAGTTCAGACGAGCTAGCACAGCTTAATTTTGCGTAGGATGACATCGCCAACTTGCTTTCTGCGCTATGTTTACACCTTGGCCAGCCGTGGCAGTGTGTAGTGGATCTCGTGACGTCATTAGATACCCACCATGTATAACAGAGCAGCTCCTTGTTTCGGTTTTGACTCATCATTTGTTGTTTAATTAAAATTATTGACAAGTGCATGGGCAAAATGAATCACTCTAGCTTTTGCAGGACTGTCAATACTATTTGAAAACAGCATTATCTCAGTATAGTTGAAAATGCGCTGGAGTTGCCCTTTAAAACAAATTTAGAATCATGTTATGTCGGCAGCAGAAACATTTATCTTATTTGATATTACAATATAGTTGCATTTGTATAGGCAGGCAGCGAGTGATTGGACTTGTGTTTTAGCTATTGTAGGCTTGGCAATTGAAAATAGTTTTAAACATTTTGGCTGACATAATTCAGATCTCTCATGCAAATGCTTATTAACTTTTTATAACAAAATCAAATTGCAGAATTCAAAGTGTGCTTCAATATTTTTTTTTTTTCCAGAATACACAGAAACTTCTTGGATTTGCTCCTTCTCGAACAGCAAATAAGCAGAGTGGCACCCTTTTTTCACCAGGCCCTCAACAGTTGACCAGATAACAAACCGACCCATCCCAAATAGTGTGGAAATAAAATTTCCTACGTGTGAATGTGAAGACCTCGTGTGGGTAGAAAATTACTGAGTGTTCTGGATAGAAAGTGCATGTCTCATAGAGAGTTTCTCACAATATTACCTAGAGGGAAGTATTGTGCCCCCACCTAAGCAACTTTTACAAGTCGCGATGGGAATGACAGCATGTGTGTCTGTGAGGCTTCTGTTGGCTGGAGGCTCCGACTGAAGAACTGATACGACTGTGCCAATAAAGCTTCTCTAAAACATAGCTTTTATAAACATATCTCATTTGCACATATTATAATCTAGAAAAGTCCACACTAGTAAGGCATAACCATACAGCAAAAGAAAGAAACTGATGACAGTCACAAAGTGCGCACTGGCATAGTCATCTACCTTCAAAGTTTAGCGCACGTCTGTTACTTTTTACGTTTACTGTGAAATAGCAAAACGACATGAACGTTTCCAAAGCAAATAAATCTCATTTCTGTGCAGTGGTAAAAAAAAATAGCTTACTACAGGCTCCTTCAGTACGAAAGCAACCATTTTGACGCAAGAACATTGAAGCCAGACGAATCTTCAAGGAGTCCAGGCTTTGCGTGAATGATGCCAACCCGAATCAAGTACGAATGAAACGTATCCCAGCATTCCCATGCATACATCTGCGTGCAGCACCAGTTTTCCTTCTAGGCAATTGAAACTATGGCATGTAGTTTGACAGTTACTCCATGAAGCAATAGCATTGTACAACAAAAGTGGAAGTCTGCTGGAAAAATTTCTACTGAAGAAGCAAAAGCTGAGCTAACCCTCTAGTATATCTACACTTGTGTGGTTGTAAGTCGATTCAGACTAGCATTTGGCTGGAGGCATGCTGAATTTATCACTACAGAGTGCATCAAGTTTCCGGACGTAAGCTAAAGGGGTTCTGAAACACTTTCAATCATGGAATGGATTCAGTAAAAGAGCTTATCGCCTCACGATTTCAACACTGCAAAAGTTTTTAAGAATCTGTCCAGTACGAGCAAAGTTACAAAGATTTGTTGCACGCTGCAATCACATTCTACCTTTTCTCGTCCCACCAAAAAGTGCTGGAAGCTAAGCAGAGAGGAAAGGCAAAAAAAAAAAAAGTCACACGCATCTCATGACCTTGAGCACTTTCTTCTTTTTTTTTTGCCCTTCAAATACACTGCTTTTTTTCAGTGTAGTTGCGCCCATGCATGGACAAGTCGCGGCGATCCCAGTAATGAACGAGTGCACCATGTTCAAATCAGCCAATGGCTGATAGATGGCCTTCGAGCGATTTCTGAGCTTTCTCTATCATTTGTCGAGAGAAGAGAAAGCAATTTTTAGCTGACTTCGATAATTTATTGTGAATTCCAGGCCACGTGCTGCGCTATAATATTTGGCTTGCGTGTTATCGGCAGCCTCTCCAACCGATCGGCAGCGTTTTCTGACCATGGTCAAAAAGGGTTGGGGCCTCTTTAAAGGTGCCCTGCAACACATTTCCATGTAACCATGGAATGCCTTCATTAAGGAATGATGTTGCCTCTCAAATTGACCGCCACAAAAATCTTTCAGAATAGGTAAATTTTCGAGCTATAAAAATAGCTGAAATATCCTGATCTTACTACTTTATCAGCCAACATCATAGATGCCATGTGCCAGTAGAATAATAGCATATAGAGTTTTACATGCGAAAAGCATGATGCGATTGTGGCTCCGGAAATTTTGACCACCTGGGAAACTTCACTGTGCACCTAAAGTACATGAACATTAGCATCTCGCCTCTATCGAAATGTGACTGCCCTGGCTGCGATCGAATCCACAACTTTTGGGTAAGCAGCTAAGCACTGTAGCCACTGTACCACCGCAGGAACTTGTGCTGGTATATAATGCATATGCATGAATGCTGCGAGCATGTGTCTCGATTTGTGGGGTTTAATGTCCCAAAACCCCCATATGATTATGAGAGACGCCATAGTGCAGGGCTCCGAACATTTCGGCCCCCTGGGGTGCACCCAAATGTGCACCCAAATCTGAGCACAAGGGACTACAGCATTTTCGCCTCCATCGAAAATGCAGCCGCTGCAGCTGGAATTCGATCCCGGGACCTGCGAGCCAGCAGCAGTGGATTTATGGTATGTACCTTAGCCACTAGACCACCGCTGCGGGGCTGTGAGCATGTCTCGCTCAAAAAATTTTTCATTGCATTTTTCGATCATGGTAAAGTGATGGCTATGGCACTGCTTGCTTTATTTTGACATAAGACACATTATATCGATATCACGTTGATATTAGCTGTAACGATTGGAGCATTTTGAGATCAAACCTGCCTGCCAAGATTATAGCATAGAGTTTTAAGCTGTACTCTGTCAACATGCAAGCAAATACAGATTTCAATTTGTGTGTGGATAAGATAGGCTCATTTTGGCTGCACAAAGTTGGTCTCTGGGTGAGCAATGGTCTAGAAACTGGCATTCAAGAATTTTTGCATTTAGCAGTGCATTTTCTTCTGATAAATTTGCGTCCACGTGAATCAACTGGCAATCTTCAGTGTGTTTCCATTTCAAAAGCCCATTTATTCAATCTAAAACACAGTAGTAGTACTATTTCACAAACCTGCTGGTGCCAATATGATGTGCTAGGCCAGTAGCTGCCACCCACCGTATGCAAACATTGATGTCATAAATTAAAAGCTTTGCACTTTATTCGTCAAAGTTTAAAGCATTTTTTAAAAACTCTGTACGATGTACAACGGCGGCCACGTTTGTGTAGAGCGCTCGGGCAGCCGGTTTTTGCTCTGCGGGCGGAAACCTTGAGGCAGTTTCGGGCTCTGAAGTGGTGTATCGGGAGCATGCACAGCCTAGTTGTCACGCTGACCACGTCAGAGCCTGATACTGCCCCAAGGTTTTGCCCCGCAGAGCGAAAACCAGCTGTTCGCGTGCTTTACAGAGATGTGGCCGCGGCTGTACCTGACATCTGGCCTTACCCCTTGGAGCAGCCCAGAAATAGAAAAGGAGTGGGGTGAAATTTAGCACTACAGTTGCAGGAATGTCCTCTGTCTTGTAAAATAGGTGCATAGTACTTCAGTCCCATAGCCTAACACATTACATGCCAGTTTTGAGATTTCTTGGAGCACTTTGTATGCAAACTACTGGCATATGCCAGGATGGTTGTCTTTATTGTTTAGCTTCTACTTTCTAAAAGTTTGTGCAACTTTTTCACAGTGTTTACAAGTGTCTTCATCAGTACAGAAATAAAACATGTGCTGTGCGACTGTTCTAAGAAAGTAGGCAAATATTTCATTTGGAATTTGAAATGGGGCAGAGACAGCACTGTTGCTGTGCTAGTTACATAATGTATTACATTACACTGTCGCCTATGAAGAGCCTAGCACATTTACTATACAATATTAGCCTCTTTGATTGGCTCTTGATGTATGAATCTCTCTAAGCCAAAACGTTTTAAATCAATGCTGACAAATTTTCCATCAATTATAAGCTCCATCATAGCCCTACCAACCCCAGGTGCCATCTGGATGCCGTGGCCACTGAATCCGGTTGCGAAGAAAACATTGTTATAGCAAGGGTGCCGTCCTACACAACCATTTTGGTCTAATGTGTTGTAGTCGTAGAATCCAGCCCAAGCACTTTTCACCTGAAACAAAAATTAAAACAAGCAAAGAATTTTTCTTGATAGACATGTCATACATTGTAAAATGTGCTAAACCATATGCAGTAAAATAAATATGTACAATTTATTGCCGCAATATGCATGATATATAATGCTTTTTTTAAGGATGATGTAGTTCACAATGAGCATATGTACAGCACATCTTATTCATACACACAAGAACATTTGGTGCTAATTTTGAATGGGAATGAGGAAAAACCTACACTACCTTCAACGACATATCTCAACATTACAAGGACATTAGTAAAGTAAACCGCAAAAAAATGTGGTTTGGCATTTTTTATAGCATTATGACACTGTCATTATGTGTAACATGTTGCATTGTTTACTGGCAATTAATTAGAATCTACTCATTATTGACTAGTCTCAGTTTTGGTTTGGAAGAGCTCCGAGAATGACAAGGCGCCAGGTACTGCCAACGCCATCTAGCACGTGAAACATGGCAAACTCGGCCATATTAACACACAGAACTCTAGCGAACTTCCGTAGCACTTTCGTCATAGACCAATGGTGTCTATGATGTCATTACTAGCTATGATAACTAAGAGTTTGGCCACAGTGGTGATGTCACAGAAATTACGGGTCACTTTCAGGTCACCTCAGATGATGTAAATGTCATGAGGTGTAGCATATAGTGCTAGACTGGCATCTATTCTTGGCATCAATTGCTTACCAGCATCAGCCACAGCTCTGTACCAATCACATGCATAGCGTTCACTGATCATAATTTGACTGTAATTCACTAATTTGAGTTTCAAAGCAGATTTGCCTATTAATTTATTTATGCTGTAATGGCAAATTTGCTGGACCTGGACTAATTTTTCACCAACTGAGAAGCCTTGCATGAAATCTGTGTAGATTTGCTTGTAGCTTTGCAATACAAATCAGTTGATGACATTTGTTCCGTTTTATTCTTCATTTTCTATTGTTAACTTCTTCAACTTCCACAGCATTCTCTGCCCAGTGTGAAACACAGCAGCAGTACACTGCAATCAGATTGATTGATATGTGGTGTTTAACGTCCCAAAACCACCATATGATTATGAGAGACGCCCTAGTAGAGGGCTCCGGAAATTTCGACCACCTGGGGTTCTTTAACGTGCATCCAAATCTGAGCACACGGGCCTCCTTCATTTCCGCCTCCATCGGAAATGCAGCCGCCGCAGCCGGGATTCGAACCCGCGACCTGCGGGTCAGCAGCCGAGTACCTTAGCCACTAGACCATTGCGGCGGGGCAGTACACTGCAATCAGATGCTGTAAGCGACAATACTGCACTTTCACCTCCACAAGTACCACTGTCTAGTTTTCTGCTGCAAGCATTTAGAGGATGTCTAGGAGGAATAATAATACCAAGAAGTTTCCATTTCAAACCCAAGATATGATGAGAGACGCCTTTGTAGAGGGCTCTGAAAATTTCGCCCACCTGGTGTTTTTTAACGTGCACCTAAATCTAAGCACAAGGCCTCAAGCATTTTCGCCTCCACAGACGATGCAACCGTCGCAGCCGATATTTGATATGCAACCTTCGGTTTGCGGAAAGACGGTGAGGCTGAGGGAAGCAGAACTAGTCGCATGAGAAGCAGCTGACAGAGGTAATGGTGGAAAGAGGCTCATGGGGAGCAACTCCATTAATTATGAGTAGCAGGAGCAGAACATTGAGAACTGGCAGAACACATGTTGAAAAAGAAGGTGTGCTAAGGTGAGAAGTTCCAACAGCGATGGAAATAACAAGAACTATGTATCATTCGGTGACAGTGGGGCCAATCGTTGGGCATTCTCCATTCTGAAGGATTACAAAAGGTTTGAGGACATCTCACACAAAAACCAGATGGCATAATAAGCTTTGTGCTTAAAAGTACCAAAAATAATTCACAAGCAGCTATCCACTATGTTCGTAGCTGGTACTGCCATACAGTCATGAGAAAGAGGAATGCCACAAGGAGGATGAGCAGATGACTATGGTGGTATCGTCACACTTTCAAATGGCTATAACAAGGGGGGTACAACTCAACAAGTCTAAAGAGGCGCTGCCTAGATGATTTAAGTACGGCAGCCAAACACCTCTGTGACAAAAAGAGAGTCCTGCTCACTTAAACACACAGTCCCACTCATTTGATACCCATGACTCGTGCTTAGCCAGCTCCATTATCATTGTAGAACCCCATGAACAGTTGGTCTACAAATTTACGTTTATTTACCTGTTATTAGATATACAAATGTAGTTCTCTTTCAATGCGGAGCATGATGTTATTCAATGAAAGCAGCATGGTGTCGCGCATTTATCAAAGTGTGCCATACATAATGCTTCCAAGCCTTCCTACTCGCTTGCTATCCCCCTCTTGTTACCACCACCCTGGTTTACTTTAAGTGGCCACAGAAATTCGACCTTAATAGTCTTTCACTCATTATTTTCAAAGATGTCTGGTCACTTCACACCAATGCAACTCTGGGATGTGATGATGCTCACGAATGTGTTTGTTTTCCTACATTCTCATATTATATGGCGTCAGTGAGGTGGTATTCCAAAGCCAGTGAACAAGTGATGGCTACCCCCTCCTGATTTATACAAGCTTACTGGCCGCTGCTTTCTAATGCCACTGGCATACTTCCAGGGAAGAAAAATCAGCGACTTAGGGCAGCCCTCAGTCTTCATGCCGGTAACCCAGCGCGACATGCTGCGCTGGGTTACCAGCATTCTCAGCAACTGGCTCAGGTAGCGGTGGGTCGAATGCAAATGGCAAATAATGGCTGCTGAATTCTGTGGCAGTGCAGCTGCCACTAGGTATTTGACAAATCGGAAGACATGGCTCAATGATGTGGCGCAGCCATGAAAGCATTTGCTGGCTCTATGCTGCTCCGCACTGACCAGACCAGCATGCCTTGTGTGATCTCCCAGCTTGTACATGCAAATTTGGTGCATAAAGAGGTGATGCTTGACTGGTCTAGTTTTTTGCTCTTGCATTTTCTACCTATGTTAAATTATTTCTGGATTTGCTCACATTTCAATTATCGGACACGTGACACAACTGTCTCTTGTACAGAGAATTACTGTTACTTTTAGATGGTTGACAAAAAAAAGCCATAGGTTCCCTTTAAACTCAGTAAAGGTGTTCCAGGGCTTTCATAAAAATTTGTAGCATTTTACACATGAGATTTCCAACTTTTATAAAAGAAAAAAAAAACAAATAAATCAGAAAGAGAGAGAGAGCAAAGAAAACAAAAAAAGAGGGGTCCTTTAATGGGGTGGAGGAAACACAGAATAGGCTAAGGAGGATTAAATTAATGTAGAACAATAGAAACTTTGCCAAGTCTTCGGCACGCAGGGCTCTTTAATGTAACATTGCTTTCCTTGAGTCAAACAAGCGTCATGTACTAACAAAAACAGCACACTGAGGCTAACCAACTAGCCTCATTGCTGGCGTAAAAATCCCCATGATTAGAATGGCACTTAGCTTATTACTCTGAATGTGCTCCCTTGAAAAGGAACTGCAACACTTCGTCCATAAACCGCTCTTCATTACATCTGAATCCAACAGGCTACTGGCACTATAGGCACAAACTTTAAAAGGACACTAAAGAGGAAAATGATTTTTTTGTTGTTGGTAAATTACCTTTTCACAATTACAAAATCACCATAAACAGCACACTGAGGCTAACCAACTAGCCTCATTGCTGGCGTAAAAATCCCCATGATTAGAATGGCACTTAGCTTATTACTCTGAATGTGCTCCCTTGAAAAGGAACTGCAACACTTCGTCCATAAACTGCTCTTCATTACATCTGAATCCAACAGGCTACTGGCACTATAGGCACAAACTTTAAAAGGACACTAAAGAGGAAAATGATTTTTTTGTTGTTGGTAAATTACCTTTTCACAATTACAAAATCACCATGCTCGCTGCGAGAAGACACTTGGAAAGGGGGATAACGCGTGAAAAGAAAATGCGGAGGATAACACCTTGAAATTCCTGCACCCCATGCCGTGACGTCATAAATTCCTATGAAGCTCCTAATGGGTAAGAATGAAGCACAATGTCTGATGATGGGGTCAGAGGCTTAACCCACCAAGTTTCTTGGAATTTCGTCGAGCCAATATCATCAAAATACATACACTTTGAAATTAGTGATGTCATGCACACAGATTTCAGCGTGAAATTTATAATTGGTACGTTGATCTCGATTTTCTCCTCTAATAATGAACTTATAATGGTAAGATTAAGGACATTAAAGTTCTCAAAGAACACAGTATCAATCTAAACTAATTTATTATTTTACTTTATTGTCCCTTTAAAACTAACGATGTAATATACCACAAAAAATATTGGCAGACCTGCGCGGAATGCACAGCACAGTTACAGAGAAAGCGGGAGCAGTGGCCTTTCTAGGGCCCTTTTTAAACCTTCTTGGGGCAACTATACTACAAGCACACTTGCATGGTACCCACTAAGCCATAAATTATAATTTTTGTGTAGCGGGAAAGCGTCTACTATGCCACTGTTGTTTATCTTCAGAAAAGCATAGTACCCGCAACACACTTGTAAGGAATTATGTGCATTTTATTGATAATATGGCCGACGACGATGGAAAATTATGCCTGTGGATTTTGTAATGGGCTGAAGTGTTAACGACCTACTCATTGTGCAATTGGCATTGTGTGATACCTTGTTGTTACTTTTACTGTTCTAAAACATTTTGTTACATTGTTAACATGATTACTTATCCAACATGAAGGCTGCTTAGGGTCAGTTTGCAACGAAGTTTCGAGCACTAGCGTAGCTCAGTGATAGAGTACTGGGCTGTCACGCAAAGGGCTAGGGTTCTATGTATTCCCGTACTGTCCTCGGCATTTATTTTATTTAGTTTTTTTTTCTTGTTTCATGCGACGGCAATTACGGACACCGGCGACGGAGGTTACTGCACTAGAATAGGCTCTTGCTGTAATTTTAAGTTCATAACAGCTTTTGCTGTAAAATGTCAAATATTCACTGGCCCACGATATAAAAAACCAGTTGGGCCAGTTAGCATCGGATAGCAACCCTAGCTACACGTAGTGGCACTCGCACATATTACAAATGAAACTTCACCTTCAGAGACTTGAAAGCTGGAATTCTGTGAGCAAGTGATGGCCAAACTGCCTTGTCGAAAAATGAATAATCTACATCCAGGTCCCCTACATCTGGTTCTTCATCCTGGAATGAAAAAAAAAAAAACTGTGAGCAGAAAAGCTAGTTACAACAATATGTAATGCCTTTTTTTTTTTCACCTGTAATAAATACACCTCTGACAATTTCAGTTACAGTTCAACCATGAATCAAGTACATCATAAATGTACACCAGTGACCCATGCTATAGTTGCTACCACAAATGCAAGTAAACCTCTACGCATATTGTGATGAGTAGAGACCGGATTATAGGCAAATGCCTATTTTGTTTAATGTGTTCCTATCGTGCCACTTTAATATACTGTGAGCATGAAGAAAAAGGTAAGAAGAGCTTTTATAGAGTTTTGATACTGCCTGTAGATGCCTCAATTTTTTTGTGCCTAAATTCCCATATGCTTATTTTCAAAACTCGCCTATATGAGCACCATATAACCTCGAATTTTGCTTTCGAGTACAGTTGAAGACCGGTATTCATATTACCGGGCAAAATTGATCATTCAGGACTCTATCGAGAGGCAACCCATACACCATCTCACAAGTTCCTTTCAGTACTGTCAAAACTACAAGGCGAAGGCTCATTAGCCACTACACATGTAGTCATTCGCGTTGCATTGTCTGCTCGGCATTTCCCCGGCCTGTGCTCGCATGCATGGTGAACAGGAGGTGCTTCTGTGCAGCGGCAAGACAATGAAGAACAAATGCAAAACTGTGGAGTTTCATCGGAAAAATGTAGAGTGGAGGTAAAAAAGAATGTCCACATGGTTGTTGTTTTGTTTGTAATTTACTTTTTAAACAGTGCTTCACTAGGTCACGTGAAAAATTTTATTTATAGACAGAGGAAGTTGTTGCGTGCCCATTTAAAAGCGTTGTGTCACTAGTTCTTATTTTTAATTGGTCCATTACAAGCCATGAAAGCATTATGCGAGGAGGTGAGCTTGCTACCTTTGCCACTCCCCAAGTGTAGACTTATCTGCCTTTTTCAGTATCGAAGCAACTTGGAGCCGGAAGATCACACGATGCTGACACATCAACATGTCATGCACACGCAAGGTTACATTCGCATGACATGCCCCTGCCAAGTTGAGCACGCATGCGGTGTTGTGTCGTTTCGATGTTCTCTGTACTCTACTGCCCGTTTCTGTAGGATGAATCCCTCATATGCGCGCACGTTTGGAGAGGCTGGAATGGATCATGTATCCTTACCTAGAATACAAAACCGCTACAACTGCACTAAGGAACGATTCACCAAAAACACACCAAGTGCTGTGAATGCTGTCATTGGCACGATGCTAGAACAGCGAGAACAACAACGCAAGCAAAATGTAGGCAGATTAGTCTCGCATCTCACTTGATACAAAGTTAAAAAAATAATGCACATATTTCGTTAGTATGTTTTAATATTTCTGTCAACCTTCATACTTCTATTCAGGTAAGAGATTGTACAAATTAAACACGTCGCCTCGAATAACTCTCGCTGTGTCACGTACTACTTTGATTTACGCAGAACTATTCCTTTTTGTATAGCCTACGTCACCTCCACCATGTTGGGGCGCGCGCCTGTGAAATGAAATCCAAGCGGCGTTCAGTCCGAAATATCACTTCTTTCCTGGCCACGTAGCATTGCGAATCTTGGCAGATGAGATTGTGAGCACCCAGTGCATGCATTCCTCCTGCCTGCTCAAAATTTTGAAACCTACTAAAGGGCCCTTTAAGTTGTCAACAGACAGAAGAAAAATTGACCCTGATTGGTTAGATTAAGTTATTACGAGGCAAAAAGACCCTTCTGACCTTTGGCACTCTGATCATTTGCTTCTATGTTGCATTTCTCAGTCATGCCGAAAAGAAAGAGACCGAGGAGAACGTTTATTCAATGGTGGACACTTAAGTCGCCATGCTGGACTAGAAAATGGGAGATCTGGATTAGAAAAAATTGCATGGCTATACTGAACCATATCACCTTAGTATACCATGATAAACTAAAACATTTCTGTTTGTGTGCCTGTCGTAGCCACAGATCCCACACTATTTCTTCGAAAACATGAATTTTGTCAAAGTTTATTGTGCCTATATTTATGATTTTGGGTGCCTAAAACAGTGTTATGTTCACCTATTTTCGGCTCCTAAAACACGATTTTTTAGTGCCTACGATTCCGGCCCCTAGTGATGAGAGTACAGTTCACTCTAGAGAACAATTAGCATAAAATGCTTCATTTATTTGTACCTTTAAGTGATTATGTCAGGAAAAACATTGGTTGACCGTTAATTAGGTGGGCATTTTTATGTCATGAACTGGTGTTTCTATACGTGGTGCTGTGTCGCCAGCTCGGGCATGCTACTAAAGGCTACCTAGCAGTGAACATGAAAAGGCAAGTGAGTGGCAACCTGTGCACTTACGGGGTTTGTGCTGGTTTTGGAGATAAAATCACAAGAATAACTAAGGATTTTCAAGACCCTGTCAAAACTTAAAAATTTCAAGGGTGCGAAGCAGTATCAAATGTAGCATTTCTTTATTATATAGGCTGTTTCAAAAAATGTGCCTGAAAATCCTCAAACGTAAGAGAAATGAGCTATGTGCTTGCTGCCTTCATTATTACTTTTTCTGAGAGGCAGACACCATAAAATGACTATATTAAATTATTACAGCATTAATTAGTTAATTACAGCATTAATTAATTGACCCACTGTTCAAAGGCTTTACCACAAGATAACATTTATTACAGAATATACGTGGTCGGTTCAAATGGAAGAATGAAAATCCCTTATGCCAAGAGCCCATTGCGACCTGGTCACTTACGCCCAACACGAGAAAGGCTGTAAGCGTCTCTACCATCTTTGTTCCTAGACATCATCAAAGGGGTGTATGACAACGTTACGCATGAACCAGTTCTCACCGCTCTCGAAGATGTAGGAGTAGGTGGTCAGACGTATCACTGGATATGTAGTTATCTTTCGATGCGATCCTTCTTTGTGAGCACCAAAGACGGTCAAACCTCTTCACATTACAGCCACCGTGGCGTCCCCCAGGGTGGCGTACTCAGTCCTGTGCTGTTCAACCTTACGCTGCTAATTGCTCTCACTGAGAATCTCCCAAGCACAGTCAGGCTATCAATGTACGCAGATGATATCTGTGTTTGGGCATCGGCTGTAACACGCCTGCTGTTGTGAGCGAGAATTCAAAAAGCTGCCACTGAAACATTATGTTACCTCCGAAATCGAGGCATGGAAATTTCTTCCGAGAAATGGGCCCTCGTAACTTTTACATGCAAGCCTATGAATAAGTACACCATAAGCATCAATGGTGAAACTGTACTATACGTTTGATCGCACAAGTTTTTGGGCATCATAATTGACAGGAATCTATCATGGAGCAATCACGTCTCCTACATGAAAAAATGATTAATAGACATCTGTAATCTACTGAAGTTCTTTTCTGGGAAGACTTGGGGAATGTCACCCAGTGCAATGCTACAGCTGAATAGGGTACTTTTTCTCGGTTTCCTGTGGTACAGCTTACCGGCATTGACCAATGCAAGCAAAATAAGCCTACGAACGTTACAGAGTGTTCAAGCCCAGGCACTCCGGATTTGCCTAGGCTTGCCTCGTAGTGCGTCGACAATGGCTTCTATAGCACTCGTCGGTGACCACCTCATCGCGACACATACTGACGTTGAGACACTCAGGACACATACAGTCCAATGTCGATAATTCGAACTCGAAGGGGCCCGAAAATTTGTTCGAATTAAAATAAGTTCAAACTAATGAAAGCTAAATAAATGTAGGGCTCTCTATGCAGTGGCACATGTGCATTGAGCTAACACACAAGGGGGAAGTTTCAGAAGCCTTACATTTATTTGCAAATCACATGACATCTGTTATTAATGGAAGTAATCGGTGATGCGTGTCTGCATACGTTTGCCTTGCAGCGAGTCAATCAATTATGCCCGCAGCTTGCAAAGCATTTCTACTTCGGCTTCAGCATTCTCCTGGCAAGAAAAGTTGCACGCGGAAATGTCCAGCGCCGCCACTTTCTAAAGACGACGACAACAACGACTGCATAGCGGAGCCTCTCCGCTACGTAGCCACAGCATGGTCAGCACGTGACAAGAAAGGAGAAGAGTGTCCATGCAGAGAGAAGCAGATCGGCATTTTAAAGAAAACTAACACTCCACGGCAGCTTTTTTGTTTGTTTTTTTTGTTCTTTTTGCGCGCGTCGTTGAAAGGAGAAGGGTTACGTGGCAGGGACAGGAAAGGGAGAAGCGTGGCACCAGCGAGTGAGAGATCCCCCCCCTCAAGGTGCAAAGCCGTGCTCCCAAAAGGGCCAAGGGCTGCTGAAGTAGTGCCTTTTTCCTTTTCTTCAAACACACATTCATTCAACCCAGTGACACCTATCTTTTTTTTCTCTCTCTCTCTCTTCATGCACGGCATTGGAAGGAGAAGTGCCTTTACGTGGCAGGGACGGAAAAAGGGAGAAGCATGACATGTGTGCATCGCAGATCGGCATTTGAGAGAGAGCAAACATTTCACAGCAGCCTTTTCTTTCCTTTTCATTTCCTTCATGCGCAGCTTTGAGATGTTGCAGGTGCCGCCGCGGGATTGGGCGGGGTGCTGAGAGCATTTTTAGAGCACGGAACGTTCGAATTACTGGGCGTTTTCACCCATTAGAATACAAAGAGCTTTGACGGGAGCTCATCGTGAGTTCGAATTAACCATGTTCGAATTAATAAGATTCGACTGTATAAGGCATATTGCTCGGACACCCTGCCATCACCTAGCCTCTTTACCGGTACACAGACCAGGTTCGTCCTTTTGCCAAATGGTAACCATGTATCGAAATTCTTTGCCAACATGCTTCACAACAGCTGCCAGGCCTTCGACTCCTCCTTGATGCCTGACTCAGGCTAAGATCAGGCTAACAATACCTGGCATCCAGAAAAAAGCAGATATGTCGTCATCTACTCTTAAGCAGCTTGCTTTGCTCTTGTTATACAAGACGTACCAAGGCTGTATACACGTATACACCGACACTT